TGACTTAAACGTCCTGCAGAGTGTAAGCTTTTCATTACCGTCTACCTGAGGGATGCATCAATGAGATTAATGGGTCAGTGAGGTACCTGTGAACACAACCTGGTCAGCTGCAAGTAAAACATCAGAGCCTGACGTGCTTCTGACTGTCAGACGTGTTTGGGCTCGTCTCATTGTTGCTAAGTTGCTATAGCAACTTATTAAAATCATGTAAAAATCTCTCCTGGTGTTATCACAGATGATGGTTGAGCTATGCCTGACTGGCCAAGTGAAGCCCAGCTGTAAAGTTACAGCAGTGCATAGTGTCACTGGAATTTGCCTTCATTCAGATGGTGATGCTTAAAAAGTTCGCTGACACTGAATCTGACACTTGTGCAGTGGCAGCTACAAGAATACAATTAAAACACACAGTCTGGTGCAGAGTCTGTGCTGAACATACTGAGTAACCTTTAATGTTGAACTGCGTGCAGTTTATTTGCAGCTGTCACTGTAAAATAAATATATTTGCCCCCTTTTATGTGAGTGCACACAGAGCCTGAACCAGAACACCTGAGTTAACAAAAAGTTAATAACCACGTGATACCTGTGACCTCTGACCGGTGTTTAGAGTTTGAAAAACAACTGGTTTCTCTGATTAGTTTAATCACAAAGTTGAACTCAAATGCAACCTTGGATAGCTAGCCAGGTTACAGCTAACTGCCTCCAGCTTGCATAGCTCGTACTGCAGGAAGTTGTCAACCTGGCAAATTTACAAGGCTGATCAAACTTGTGAGTTTGAATGAATTAGCTCAAGTTATCCAGTCGTGACAGAAGTTTTCTGCTTTAGATAGCTAGCACTTCATCTGCATTAGAAGCCATGCAAACACTGAAAGAAGAAAAGTGGATTTATGGAGTGCCATGTCTGTGTCTATCATGGCTCATCCTCAGCGTCGTGGCTATACCAGGGAGTTAGCCTTTACTGCTAGCCCCTCTGCAGCCCTCACGTCCCAAAACGGAGTAAAACCTGAGTCTGTAGCAGGAGGCCCTGCAACCACTCGGATGAACAAATTGACTCCAGTCTGTTTATTTTTTGTTTTTCTTCAACCTAATCTCCTTTGTGCCGTTTGTCTCCTGCTTGCCGTGTGCTCTCAGGAACTGCGTGTCAGCCACCAGCAAAAGTCTGGTTTGTAAACAGTTTTTAAAAAATCATACACAAACATTAGAGAAGTCTGCTCTGACAGAATTCAGTGCTGTTGGTCATGGAAAAAGGAGAACGCCGCCAATTTCACAGCAAAAAGCTGCAGCACGACCCGTCTGAGTTGACTGACTGATGGATACTTCTTGTTGTGTTTTGAGTAGGGCTGCCACAAACGATTATTTTGATAGTCGACTAGTCACCGATTATTTTTGCGATTAGTCGACT